GACTTTTGCATTGTTTCAAAGGTTATTTAACATCTTTCATTTAGACAACTTTTTACCAGAAAGGAATGTTTTGGTTTTATTCAAATGCCACTTTCTTTGGCATTTGAATAAATACAAAACATTCATTACTCAACCAAAGTCATTCATTATCCAAACTATCTATTTTTAGTAATTCAACATGTAGTTATCAGTTTATTTTTAAAAAATGCATTTTGACTTAGAAACATCTATCACAAATTATGTTTTCTTTAACTGGTGCTGGCTTTTGAAAGGTCTCAGGGACCATAAAGTATTTGGAATAAAGTAAAGAAACAAAGGGGAATTAAGTGGTAAAAATTATTTATTATACCTTATTTTTCAAAATGTGTTTTTTTTTAATTTCTTTTTTTTATTTCTTTTTACATCTTTTAGCGAATATAATTTGGCTTTTTCTTATGAGATAATGAATATGTTTCATTAAATGAAGTGATTTGTATGCTTTTCAAATGACACTGAAACATTCTGCATGCACTTGAAAATAGTCATATCATAAGAACACATGAAAAAAGTTGGAAAATTATGCTAAACTAAGGATTTGGAAACGTACATGAAATATTATGTAGAAAGGGCTTACTTGTTATTATTTCACATACATAGATTGTTTACAGCGAGTGGAAAATTAAAAAATTAGAGTAATTTGTTGCATTAAGACATTTAGCTATATTTCTTTGTTATTTGTTTATTTAATGCTTTTACTTTTCGTTGGCAAATTTGTTACGTACGGGTAAATTTCAGAGGTACGGAAAATATTTAAATTATCAAATGAGTACTAATTTTAAATGTACAAAAACGTCACAGATTTTCCCAGGAAAAAGAAATATTATTGTTAGATGACTTGACCTCCTCATGATAAAGTAAAAAATCTGGAAATAATAATTCCATTTTTTCCCTTTTATGTTTCATCAGAGTGTATTATTTTATGTAAAATATTTTTAAGCAGTTATTTTTAACTTCATCCAAATTTAAAATACATATCCATTATATTCAGCTTAAAAGGTTTTTTTAATAAAAATAAATAAGTAATTTTTTCTCTCTACTTGCTTAAATTTATGGAGGGCCTGTTTAGTTTTAATTTAAATAATATTTACTACATATGCATAAAATACAAAAGAAATTAAAATATAATACGTTTAAAACTCATTCCATATTCATTTCGAAATAAACATATGCGAAAACCTGAAAAGTAATCTGTATACTTATCATTCCAATCCCTACAGGACGAAGTAAATAGTACAAACAATTAAAAAATTGTGGCCTTAAAAACATAAACAAAGTTTTAAAAAGCTTGAAATTATTATTTTGAGCAGACTGATTTCAAAGCACAAATCTAACATCTTCAAAAACTAAAAATATACCTAGATTTTGAAATCCCATAAGCCGGGTTAAGCAAATTAAAAAAATTGTCGCAAGAAGCTTAAAAAGCTTAAAAATCTAATAATAATAATAATTTTCAAATTAAAGCAGAACAAGTCCGAGAAACATGTAAAACGGAAGCAATTCAGTACATCAAAAATACTAAATGAAAATTTTGATCCAAAGCACATAAAATTAAAAATACTTCAATATTTTAAGCTCTTCAACTTGCACTACACCTTTCTTGTTCGCTGAATTTAAAAAAAAAAAAAAAAAAAAAATTTTAGTTTTGTATTAAACACTATAAATTATTCCATTCGTTAACTAAACTCTTCAATCCATTCGTTGAAGTGAAGCCAACCAGAGGCCGAGGGATAAAGTCATTGAACACAGGTAGTTCTGTTCGGGGCTTGAATCTCGGCAAATGTGTGTGTGCGTGATTATGGCAAAGCCACGAGAGCTATCTGCCTAAGGAGAGGAATGCCTTCGTGGAGGACTTTCTAAGGGGAACTGGCTCGTATACACGTTTCACATGGGGAAAACCATGAAAACGCTTATGCAGCCAGTTTCGAACCTCGGACCGAACTACCAGTGTTCAGCGACTTTACCACTCGGCCGCTGCTGGGCCTCTCGGCAAATGAAATTGCTGTATAGGCGTTTTCGTGCTTTCCTTCATGTGTAACGTGTATAGGAACCATTTTCCCTTAGAATGCCCAGCAGAAAAGCATCCCTCTCTTTAGGCAGCTAGCTCTCGAGTGCTTTGCCATAATCAAATAAACTTATCATTGAACTGAAGCGAACTGATTTAGAACATAATTCTAGGAAAGTTTCTTTTGACTCTCTTTCTAATTTCCTTTGATTTTATAATCCATGTAATTCTATATTTTTTTCTTTTAAAGATTTTCTTCTTGCTACACATTAATTTATGTTATGACAGAGGTTTATTCTAATTATTTTCAATAAAATTAATGACTTAAATTTGAAGTTGTAAACTCATAGTCTAGCTAAATTCATTACTTGTCACATTTTAGGTTTATTTATTAAACAGGTCGAATTTATTTTTTCTAAACTTTTGCTGTTCTAATTTTTTTTCACTTCAAAACTTAGATACAAATTTTAATGTTAATATGATACTATAAATTTTAAGAACTAACTCATTTATTATTTATTATTTTATGTTTTTAGAGTCAAAATTTTCTTTTATTATTTTTCATATTTTAGATTATTTTGGTTTTAAATGTTTTTGGCCCGGTTCATTTAACTTGGAAATTATTATAATAATTAAGATATTAAAGCCCTTTTGTTTGTTTATGATTTTGATGCTATGAATTTCAAAATGGATTTAACCCAGCCTGTGGAGTTCAAAATTCACATTTTTTTTGGGGGGGGCACATATTGGATTGCTTATATTTTTAAGTCTATGGCTCGTGCTTTTCAAAGTAATAATTTTCATAACTCGTCCTTTTCAAAGTAATAATTTTCAGATTTTCAAATTTGTCTATGTTCTGAATGCTATAATTTTGCAGATGTCTGCATTGCTTACTACAGGGTCTGCAAGGTTTGGCGTGATAAAGATACAGACTGTTTTGATTGTTTTTCTGAGATTATTTTCGATTTTTAGCCCTAATTAGTGCCTTTTTTCGTTCCGAAACAGGTTGATTTATTTACTTCTCTCGTTGCGCCAGCCCCCTGATGACGATGCAGCGGAAGATGTAAATTTCTAATTTCATTTTTGGTTTTGGGATCTTTTGCCCCTTTCTCTTACCACAGACCTTCTGTTGTTTGGACTTTTGCATATGTTTATTCCGAAATCAATATCGGATGAATTTCAACTGCATTTTTGTAAATATATTTCATATTATAACCAACCACTTTTTGCTCCTTTCAGCGGGCAGTTCGATCAGGTTTTGACCTGCTTTATATTTATTAATTTTATATAGAGAGATATTTATATTAATATAAGTTACCTCTATTATTAATTCACGAAAACACGAAAAAATAAAGGTAATGCTGTCAAGAACTTTGGAGGAATTAGAAAATTTTAGTTTAATTTACGACAGATAGTAAATTTTAGCTGAAAACCTTTTAATTTGACTTGTAAAAAAATTAGAATATTTAATTGCAAGCTTAAGTAGCTTAATTAAAAATAGCCTAAATGGTTTTATCTCTGGAATTAAAACATGTTGTAAGTACTCAGAAAAAAGTGAGGGGGTCTTTAATTTTCATATCAAATGAATTAAGGGAATGAAAGAATTCATAGATGTCAGAATTTTTCCCCCTATTATAATTTTCCCATTCAGCTTTTTATTTAGCACAAATTTTGGCACATCAGATGACAAACTTTCAAAAACTCAAAAACAAGATGAAGATTAATATCGAAAAATTTTCAAATATCAGTTTTTTTGCTTAGCTAAATCAGCATCATTTTATATCACATAATTTCACTGTAAGACTGCATTTAAATACACTTGTTTAATATAAACTCAGATTTCATCTGCAAAGTTTCTTTTCACAAACTTAGACAGCTGTCATATATGTTCTAGTTTGTTTGAAAGTTAAATATGTTTCTCTGCAGGTTTAAATTAAAATCATTTTAGCCTTAAGAAATATCAGTATAAATTCATGACAGAAAATTTTCGATGTTAAGAAAAAAATGGTTGTTGAGTATATTATATTCTACTCAATTAGTAGATCTTGTATTATATGCACATATTCAGCTTTCCTTGTATTTCTGAACCCTCGCACCTTTCCCCGTATTATCTTAATTTATTTGAAAATTATTACACTTGAAGGAATTTTATCCCTAAGGGAGTTAGCCCACAAGGGTTATTAATTTCGTTTTGGCATTTTGCGTCGGAAACTTTAAAAGTCTGTATGATTTTTCAAATTGTTGCCAACAAATATTATTGCCATGTATTGCATTTAAAGAATAAATAATGACGAATCTGCATGAATGTATGTATGGCAATGTATGTCTGAATGTATGTATGGTATGATCATGAATGTATGTCTCTCATTGTGATAAAACAACGGTACCTAGAGCCATCCAATTTTGAATAATGTACATCTCCACTCGAATATGGGCATCTGGAAACCCAAAATTGTGAAGCTGGAATTTGTTTTATTATCTATTTCACATTTTGTGAAGCATTTATGAATTTTTGATTAAGAAACTTAACGATTTCAAATCGAGCATTGGCAACACTGTACTAAAAACAAAAACACTTTTATCTCCAGTGCGCGAGGCCTGTCTATGAGAAATTCTAAAGGTATGTTTTTTTTTCAGATTATTTTACGATATTGCTGTTTAATTGAGTTTAATACTTTAAGTGCGAAGAACATGATATTTAATAAATAAAGGTAGAACACAAAACGTTAAAAAACGCCCCTTTGGGCGTAATATAAAATCTGAAAGCTTTCATATTTTCTTTTGTTATTGTTATTATTATTAATAGCTTCAAGTTATGTTAGTTGTCGAAATATATAACGCACAAGAAAAAAGATAACTCGATAAAAGAATGTTAAAAACTGTATTCCTTTAAACAAAAAATTCAAATGGTGAAATTTTCAAACGATTAGCATATTCATTTAAGCAAAAATACACTCACCTATAATTGCAGCAAGAAGTGGTAATAAGATCCCAATTGTGATAATACATTTCATACTGCCGCCACCACTTTTGCCATCACCACCGGCAGCACCATGCTTTGCGCGGCTAGAAACCAGCGAATGTTGAGAGCCGCGGCTCATGCTGCACGTTGTGATTGAGAGTGTTCTGGCTTGCAAATCTGAAGTACTCTAGTGGCGACCACGTGTAGGCGTAACCGGTCTCGCTCTGGTGCATCCGAAGGAAAGTGGAGGAACGACTTTCCCTACTCCATCGCCTACCGAGATTAACTTTATTTGCTTTCTCTCCCCCTCCCTCAGGCATACAAGAAGACGAGCCACTTTGTGTATCATTTTCGTTCCACCTTTCACTAGTCACATGTCTGAAAAATGTAACAGTTCCCACGAGCATTCGATGAACCCTTCTTGATGCCAGGACCTTGCCACTTTTAATGAGATTAATTCAGAATCTGGGTCTTAAGGCATTTCCAAAATGTCCATAGTTTCTCAAGAATATAATAGTTCCATTCCAAAGAATGTAATCAATAGCGATATTTATCTTCTTCCAAACTGCTGAAGCTGAGAAATCCCATTAATCCAAAGCATTCAGCTGGTAATTTTTTTTAATATTTAATAATTTGTATTGTGTGTTAATTTCCTCATTTTGTTGTCTTGCGGGAAAGATAACAGCTCAGATAGTTTTAGCTGAATATAATGATTATGCGGATCCTTTCGCAAAAGAATTAAGTAATTTTTTTGTATATAAACGTACTATTTCTGTTCCGAAGAATGCGACAACCCCCGTGAGCATTCGATGATCCTTTTCTTTATCTAAAACCATGGTACTTTTATTAAAATTAGATGCTCCATTATTACACCAAATTAGATGCTCCATTATTGCACTTTTATTAAAATTAGATGCCTGGGATTTTATTTTTTCAAAAGCTTTGTTGTCCAAAACAAACACTACCACAAAATAAGTAGACACCCGTGGAAAATCTCCGTCGTAGTTTCATTTTAAATGTATAAAATATGTACGAAAATGCTTCCCAACCGGTAAAGTGGTTAGCGTCGCTGACTGCAGAGCCAAAACGCCCGGTTTTGAAACCCGGAGAAACCATGTGTGTTTGTAAATGTAGTGTCCGTGCGGCATGGAGGCACTCTAAATATCTCTGAAAGTCCTCTCCAGAGGGTGATAGGGAAAGTGGGGAGGGAGACTCCTGTACTCATCCCCCCAGGGTGCTGTCAATCAAAATTGGGGGCTGAACTGAGCTAAATCGCGCTGTCACCTGAAAGGTGCTGAAGGCTATTGCCAACGACAGGCGTATCTTGCTCCTTGCTTATTTCGTGGGCTTGGGCTGACTATAGGACAGACAAGTGAACATTAGTTAAGAACATTGTAAGAAGGCAGAAATAAATAGGAAGACATAAAAGCAAGCAAAGATACAGTGCAGAACGCCATGAACAGGAATAAATAGTAAATTCCTTTTTTTTTTTTTTTTTTTTTTTTAATGGCGGACACTAGCCATTTGAGGCTTTGGACACTACTAAGAATACTATTTCAGACTACTACTTAAGACTACTACTTTGGGCCTACGTGGGCTTGGGGTGACTATAGGTCAGACAAGTGAACATTACTGATTCAGAAGTAAAACAACAAAAATCAGCGTTAATTCACAAAATTTTCACAGGACTAGTTTCGATGGTTTTACCGAACCATCATCTTCAGCTGCAAAACCGCAAATGAACAAGATAGGAAATAATGTTTAGATAAGATAAGAAAGCCTGGACAAGAATAAGCAAGTGGCGCCATCTGTTGGCGAAACCAGAACTAAAACATAATTTCTCTAAAAGCCGAAGGCAAATTTGGATTGGAATTAGGATCGTTAACTAGAACAGAAAGATTTTTATGAATGTGAAATGCCTCTAGAAAATCCAGTTCTCCAATGGAAGATGTTTTTTGAATAATTTTGGCAGCAGAAAAATTGAAAGTGTGATTTTCGGACCAACAATGTTGAGCAACAGAAGACTTCTGTGTTTCCTTTTTTCTAACATATGCCTCATGTTCTTTGACGCGAAATTTTAAGGCTCTCTTAGTTTGGCCAATGTAAATTAAACCGCACTGGCAAGGAATCCTATAAATACGCCCAGGAATTCATATCCGGAATGGGGTCCTTGAGTATAGAAAGTTGGAATTTTATTATTGATGGAGAGAGTAAACAACCCGAAAGTTAAATTTCTGCAAAATATGTGCAACTTTATAGCTAATTGATGGAAAGAAGGGAATGACAACAGAATTTTTATAATCTCCTAAAATAAGAGTGTGGCTTTTAGTGTGTTGAGATGAGAATTTTTTTTAACTGCTTGATTAATAATGTTGGGTGAAAAGCCCCTGTCAATAGCTATTGCTTTTAAATAATTTTAGTTCTTCATCAAGGGCTAGTTTGGAGGAGCAAACTTGAAGAGCACGGAAAACATAGGAATAAAATGAAGCTAACTTTTGTTTAGTCGGATGACATGATTTAAAGTGTGGTGGAAGGCAAACCGATGAAGGTTTACGGTAAACTGTAGTACTGAAGTTGGATGTGTTACGTGTGTGACCAGAATGTCGAGAAACGGAAGAGAATTGCAAGTCTCAAGTTCAAAAGTGAACTGAATAGCAGGATCAATAGAATTCATTGTTGAAAGAACTCTATTTAAATCATCTTTATTACCTTCAAACAGGGTAAAAGTATCGTCTACGTAGCGGAACCATGCCGGGAAGTTTAAAGTTTCAAAACAATTTTGATTCATAATAATGCATGTAGATATCAGCCAGGATGGGACTGAGGGAGCTTCCCATGGCTAATCCCTCAGTTTGCTTGTAATATTTATTTGGAAAACAAAATGTGTTTGTTTCAAACAGAGTTGAGTGAGAGAAATTAGCTCATCAATTTCGATGCAAGAGAAATGAAATTCGCGAAGTCTGGTTTCTAGACATCTTAATGCACCCCTCCACTGGGACATTGGTGAATAATGATTTTACATCAAAAGAAACCATGAGTAAATTACGAGGAGAAATGTTTTTAACCTTTTTTACAAACTCTATTGAATTTTTTATGGTGTAAATGTTATTGTCTAATAGAGTGGAAAATCTAGAAACTAAATATTTAGCTAATGGATACGAGGCAGTACCTAAATTTGATACAATAGGGCGGAAAGGAATACCACTTTTATGAATTTTGGGAAGAGCATATAATCTGGCACAATTCGCAACAGATGGGATAAGCGAATGTTTTAAGTTGCTTGAAATGATTTGCGAAGATTTGATCGCAGTTTTTCTTTTGGATAAGTCCGAAGGTGAAGGATCTTTAGGGATCGGATTATATGGTCCTTCGTTTAAGAGTTTAGTGACACCATCGATGTAAGTGTTCTTATCCATGACGACTATCTGGCCACCTTTGTCGGAGCTAAGAGAAACTAAGAGAACTAAGAGACTAAGAGAAACTAAGAGACTAAGAGAACTAAGAGAGCCTTAAAATTTCGCGTCAAAGAACATGAGGCATATGTTAGAAAAAAGGAAACACAGAAGTCTTCTGTTGCTCAACATTGTTGGTCCGAAAATCACACTTTCAATTTTTCTTCAATTTTTTTTCTGCTGCCAAAATTATTCAAAAAACATCTTCCATTGGAGAACTGGATTTTCTAGAGGCATTTCACATTCATAAAAAATCTTTCTGTTCTAGTTTAACGATCCTAATTCCAATCCAAATTTGCCTTCGGCTTTTAGAGAAATTATGCTTTTAGTTCTGGTTTCGCCAACAGATGGCGCCACTTGCTTATTCTTGTCCAGGCTTTCTTATCTTATCTAAACATTATTTCCTATCTTGTTCATTTGCGGTTTTGCAGCTGAAGATTATGGTTCGGTAAAACCATCGAAACTAGTCCTGTGAAAATTTTGTGAATTAACGCTGATTTTTGTTGTTTTACTTCTGAATCAGTATTTATTCGGCGTGTTATTGTGTCTTAATTAAAGTGAACATTAGTCAAGAGTATTTTAAGATGGCATAAATAAATAGGAACACATAAAAGCAAACTAAGGTGCAGAATGCCATGAACAGGAATAAATAGAAAAAATTTTTATGGCGGGCACTAACCGTTTTAGGCTTTGAACCCTACTAAGGCCAGAAACGTTAGTCATTTTATTATGGAGGCAATTAATAGGCGGCCACAGTTACCTCCTATGAAGTGACAGACAATTTACATCTTCTCCGGGACTCGAATGTCAATCAGAGTCACTAGACACTTTCGCGGCTTTGCGGCAAAATTCAAATATTGAAATATTATACAAGAAGTCCAGTACCACAAATAAAAAGCAGCTCCAGATAAGGCATTCATAGATGACATTCATATTTGCCTATACAACGTAAAGCACACAGAGGACTAGAAAACTTTCCGAATGGAAGGGATAGGCAAAAATACAACCATGGGTGACGGTGAAACGAAAAACAGCAATTGCTTTATCAATAGAATGATCTTGTAGGTTGTTAAGTTGAGCAGCTGAATCTTTGTTCGAAATTCCACTAATAGATATTTCTTACAACTATTAAGAACTCTCTGACGTGCAGTGGAGAATGTAGATGAATAATACTGCTATTTAAGATGTGTGGGCCCTTCTTTGCAAGAGCATCTGCGTGCTCGTTACAAGACATTTCGCAATGAGAAGGAATCCAATGGAATCAAATTTTCAGAGAAGGAAATAATATTCCAGGGAGATTACTTAATTCGGCATTCCTCAGGTTCCTGTCCAGTTGCAGGTCTATGTTTATTTACAGTAGCGAAAGAAGTTGCCCTAAAATCAGAGATGATCATAGTATTTAAAGAAAGGTCTTCAAGAGCAAATAAGGGTCATAAAGCAAAATATGTAGCCTTTACTTCATCGTCAAAAGCAGTTTCGATTATATTTAGTGACAACTATTTGAAAGTGTTACAATGCTTTTCAACGTAATGCCGTTTCGAGACCAATATCCCTTCTGGGCTAATGCCCTTTTGGGATAAACATTCGTCAATAATTTTACAGAAAACTTTGTAAGCATTTAAATGTTTTTGAGACGAAAAAGAAAAGAAAACCACTTGAATGATTTAACCTTTAAAAAAAGGGGGAACGCAATAACTCATACTGCGAAACACTTTAATCTGTGATCAG